CCCTACACTGAGGGCTTTCCCTCAACCACACTGTCAATTTAATCTAAAACCCTCTACCTACAGTTACAGAGTAAATAGGACACACACTGCTTTCACTTCAGTTTGTTTCCTCTCACATCCCTGCAGCTGTGCTCCTTGCCAGCCTCCACGCCAACTTCGGGGAGGAAAGGCATGGAGGCACTCTCCTAAAACCCTGGCAGGAGAGGTGCTTCGAGAGCAGGATAGCTGAGCATGCACAGACAGGTTAAGTCACTTGCTTCCCACTGTCTCCTGGGGTGTCCCTGCAGCTCCTGGGCTCCTCCAGAGTGGCTGACCCAGGGGCTGCCAGTGCACAAAGGGGATGGCAGCCATGGCAAAAGCAGAGGGCTCACAGGCTGACCTCCTGAAATACCCCAGTTTTGTTTTCCTTAAGAGCTGACGAGCAACTGGGAATCCTTCTGTATAATTTGTTTTCTCCATACTGCATCTTTCCAGGTTTCAGGGGGTCCCTCTACTCAGCAGTGCTCTCTCCCAGTGGGGAAAGAAATGGTCCACAATGCAAGCAACTGCTCTTCTAAACAGACTGTTAAAGGCTGAAATTAGAAATTAGTCAAACTGCTCTCAGACACATGGATGTAGACATGAAAGGAACTGGTTGTGATCAGAGAAGCCATCAGGAAACCAGTCGGTGCCATCCCTGTTTGGTGCACACAGCAAAGCTGTGCTCAGCAGACAAACACACATGGTCCCTACCTGCAGCTGTCGAGAAAGACAAAAAGAAATATCTGCTTTGATAGAAAGAGAAGTGGTAGGATGCAAGAAGATGTATTTTCAGAGTGAGTTACAGCCTAGTATAAACCCAGGCGGTACAGCAATGACTGTGGTGTCCTGGGGCAGCACCTGCATGGAAAACTCAGCTTTCTAAGGCCTCCACCTTACCTAAGGCCCCTTGGCAGATGTCTGTGCGAGTGGCTCCACCGGCTATGAACTGGGGGCTGGAACACAGCTCCTGGGAAAGAAACACCCCTTGCATTATAAACATCCACAGGTAACAGAGGCAAGAAGGACCCTCTTGCAGCAAGTTTTAAAAAGGCAACTGACGACAGTAGGACAATGCCACAGAGATGAAGGAGGTCAGGAATGAGTGCAGGGCACCAGACACACTAAGCATGGTGAGAAAAGGGACTGGTGACCAAAAGCTTGTGGGCAGCCATCTCACTTTACAGTATGTGCCAGGAAGACCACTGCACTTTTACACACATGCACACACTGCTCTGCTGGTACCTCCCCGCCACTGATCACATCAGGGTGTTTCAGAGACACCAAGGCACCCTGGAGTCCTGACTCGATGGCTCCTGGCCAGACAGGGCTGCTTCAGTTGCCAGAGGCGCAGGCTGAGCAAGGGCTCGCAAAGGAAACCACCGCAGCACGGTCAGCTC